TGTTTGCGCAGTTCACAGAAAAAGGAATATGACTGCTTACATTTGCAAGTTCTGTGTAATGCCACTTCACAAAGGGGAATGTTTCCAGAAATATCACACTCTCAAGCACTTCTAGGAGCACTGGTAAGTGTTCTCCAAAAATTTTAGTTCATAAAATTACAAAGACAAAACAACTCTGTCCAGTGTGACTATTTAAGTTTTACTACTTGAAAACTTAGCACCCTTACATGTTTCGATCCTTATGGATCATCTTCAGAGGGAACATCAATACTTATTTGGAAACTACTATCACAAAAGGTCTTCTGAGTGCTAAATTACATACATACACAATGCCTGGAATACACAATATACATAAAATCCAGTTTTTCACAATCACAGCACCTTTCCTGGTATTAAAGATTTTAAAGTTTTTAAAACTTTGTTGTTTAAGTTAAAATTTATAAACCAAATAGATTTGTGTCACTTCTTCTATCGCCTTTCTTGAAGGGGGCTGAACTTGTGCCGCCTCTCTATCTTGAGAAGCAGATTCTTAGTATCGTCCTGTGTTTGTACATGGCTTGCTGTGTTGTTTTCACTGTTTTAGTGTGTGCTGTGTAATAGTCACACTGGATGGTGTTGTTTTGTCTTTGTAATTGTTAGTGTGACGGACCAGAATGAAACAAATCAAATTCATAAAATTAATTAAGATATTTTATATTAATTTTTAAAGTGAACAGTGCACAAGTTAGGGTACTGGGTTTAAAAATGCCTGTCCACAGGGTGATTTAAATATTTAAATTGCCGGTCCTCAATGTGTTAAGATCCATTTTAATATTATCTCCCATCTATGTCTATGTATTCCAACTGGTCTCTCTAATTCAGCTGGTTCACTGTTATAAAGTAAGTGGCATATTAACCACCTGTCTACTTGTTACAGTGAGCAGTCCCTACATTTGTTTTGGGTTAGCGACTGTTGGAATGAAAGTATGTGGTGGATTTATGAGCACATCAATATGACAAATCCTACTCGAGCAATTATGGCATTAAGGAGAACCCGTACAAGATTAAATAATGCCACTCAAGCTTGGATGAAAAATTATGCAGCCCACCCCAAAAAGTTAAAAAACAGATCAACTTTCTCATAAACTTTGTTACAATGAACACATTCAGCAACTTTACTACTGGCTTACATGCCAGACCAGCTAATATTCACAGTACACTAGTAGTCTGCGACAGGTAGCGAACAATCTACATCAGTTTATGAAATAGCAGAATGTAGCCACATGCAATATCTTGCAGCACAGGAAAGGGCTACATGCTGAGAATGCATGGCATGTCACTTCTCGATGCTGGTCAGGTACAGTAGTTAGTACATAACACTGTTACATCTCATGTTCTCACAGCAGTGACTATGAAGAGTACTGCTTTCTGGATAGTTAAGTGGGATTTTGCCAACATTTCAGAGAGTAAGCCAAGCAAGCAGAGCCATTATACTCCTCCAAACATTGATGAAGATCTACTGTACTATATTGCCTCACATCCTAGAAGGTAGTATTCTTTGATTATACACTGTGTGACAATTAAGTTCCCGAACTGTTGCCATAAAAACCACACAAAGAAGATAAAAAAAATATTAATACCATCACTATATAGTCCCCGCCCGCTTCTGCACAAAATTTACATCACTCATACAACGAATTGAAAGCCCTAGAAAACTCTTCTTACTGTATCACATTCAGTACTCTTGTCATAGTCTGTTGGATCAATGAAACAGCCTCAAATTTCACCCCTTTCACTGCAATTTTTAATTTAGGAAATAAGAAAGTCAGCTGGCTATAAATCAGGATTGGATAGCACAGGGATCCCTCATTTCACCAAAAACTCGGATACAACACTTGAAGAATGCGTCCATGTATTATCGTGCAGAAGATACCAGGACCCACTTTCCCGAGACTTAGGTTCAACGCTATGAACTTGAGCAATCAATCTCTTTAACCACCTCTTTATAAAATTTTCCATTTACAGTCTGTTTTCCTGGCACAAATTCATGATGAACGATACCTATTCTGGAAGTTGAAGGACGGCCTTTCCATTCATTGTCTTGTAACAACTCTCACCCTTCTCTGAACCTTTTATGCCACTCAAACACACTTGTTCTCGATAAGCAGTCTTCACCATATGGACTTCTCTACATTTCAAACACTTCAGTAGCTGTTATTCTTTAATTTTACACAAAACTTAATTTCTGCTCTGTTCCATTTTGAAACCTTCGACATGACAAAAATCTAACTTCACCAAAATAACTATAATCCTCATATGCATCAACCAAACAAGTTTAAACTTGCACATCATATAAATAAACGTTCTAACTAGTCATGTTCATCCCTAATAGATGAAGTCAGTAGCATTACTGTAATAGCGTCAGTTCAGGAACTTAACTGTCACATTGTGGAACACTGTTACATGACATTTTTACATTACTTCTAATTAATTGTCACGATAACAGTAGCAGATGTTAATTTACATTAAGAAAGGAGATTTGTAGAATTTACTGCCTTCAGAATTATGCCACCCAGGCAGCTGTAGCATGCCTGCCATGCTGGTGCTGGTGGTAAATGCACGTGTAGAAAGTTTCAAGAAATATTAAAATGTAAGAAACTTGTGTACTGCTTCAAAAATATTTCTTCCAAGTTGATGAACTGAGAAATGCCCTTCATACCTCACAGTCAAGTAGTGGCTGGTTATTCCATGCTAATACATCCAGTATGTAATAGCTGTGATTGGTAAAGCTCCAGATACAATCAAGGATGGTGCATGCTTTGAATTCGTTACGGTGGCCTCCTGGCAGAATACTCTGGAATGTTGCCCACTGCTGACCACTCTTTGAATATGCCCTTGTGTTCCCCTGAAATGGAACATAACTGTTATGTTCCATACATATTATTTAGCTCAAAAAGTTGGTAAGCTCTGCACATAGGGTCAGTGATTTACCTGAAGAAAATTTGGTTATGTTAGTACTGTCATTATAACAAGTCATAAATGATGCAAATGTAAAGTAATGAAAAGAGCATACCTACTGTTTCTGTATAAAATTTTCTTTACAAGTGAACAACTAAAAAAGTAATGAGAATTTTCAGGTTATATCTGACAAATTTAATTGTCGAACTCTGTATTAGTGGAAATTTTATTATTATCCTACATTTTTAATTCTGTAATAAATTTATACTCGTATTGTTAGGAGTGCTTCTCTCTTAACCACTCCTTAACCTTGAGCTTACCAGCTACTCGATCCCTCCCTAGTTGAGGCATCTGCACAACCTCACTACCCTGAATCTCGCTGAACAGGAACCCTGAGGACTGAGGCCCGCTAAGGTGCCTCACTACATGAACATACAATTTTATAAAGAAAGTTATGCTTAGGCACAATCGTATCTATTTATCTTGCCATTGTAACTTTTAAACTAAATTAAGTTTTTCAAGAAATTATTAAAGATAAAACAACTCCGTCCAGCGTGACTATTGAAGTTTTTACAGCTTCAATTCTTAACACTTTGCGGACCGCGTACACATTGATATGTTTTTTGCTTTTAAACGTGGTGGACCGGTCGCGTATTAATACGTTTTTAGAACATGATAAATTGCAACACACTATACATTGCTCTGACGCCACTCAGCTTGGAAGTAGCTGCCTGCAGCTGCGTGAAAAGCCTCTGGAATGTTTGCTGACTAATCAGTTATGTGACCTCGCTGTAACTGTATGCCCCTGCAAAAGAAAATTAATGCCTTTATTTCTTCAAGCTGTATGTAGCATGCTGTCAGTGAGTAGTGCAATATGCGAACATATAATCCTGGGAAACTTACAAAGCATGGCCTCCTCATTCGTGTAGTTACTGAAAGCACTTCAGGCTATATTGGAAATCTAGAATTTCATTCTGGTGAAGGAAAGAAATTACAAGAAACTACTCTTTCCGGTTTGGAACCCTATCTTGATCAAAATTACCATGACTATCAAGACAATTATTATAACAGTGTGGCAACTGCAGAACACCTACTTTCGAGAAAAGTACGTGTTTGTGGAACAATTAGGGTGAACAGAGGCCTTCCTCCAGATCTGAAAGAGGAATGTAAATCCCTGAAATGTGGTGAAACCACATTCAGGAGGAAGGGCGATATTCTTCTTCAGTCCTGGAGGGATACTCATGTTGTGAATATGATTTCCACAATTCACAATTNTGCTCTGACGCCACTCAGCTTGGAAGTAGCTGCCTGCAGCTGCGTGAAAAGCCTCTGGAATGTTTGCTGACTAATCAGTTATGTGACCTCGCTGTAACTGTATGCCCCTGCAAAAGAAAATTAATGCCTTTATTTCTTCAAGCTGTATGTAGCATGCTGTCAGTGAGTAGTGCAATATGCGAACATATAATCCTGGGAAACTTACAAAGTATGGCCTCCTCGTTCGTGTAGTTACTGAAAGCACTTCAGGCTATATTGGAAATCTAGAATTTCATTCTGGTGAAGGAAAGAAATTACAAGAAACTACTCTTTCCGGTTTGGAACCCTATCTTGATCAAAATTACCATGACTATCAAGACAATTATTATAACAGTGTGGCAACTGCAGAACACCTACTTTCGAGAAAAGTACGTGTTTGTGGAACAATTAGGGTGAACAGAGGCCTTCCTCCAGATCTGAAAGAGGAATGTAAATCCCTGAAATGTGGTGAAACCACATTCAGGAGGAAGGGCGATATTCTTCTTCAGTCCTGGAGGGATACTCATGTTGTGAATATGATTTCCACAATTCACAATTCGAGCATGGTTGATGTTCAAAGGAGACATGGACAGGTAAAGAAGCCTGTTTGTATTTCCGAGTATAATATGTTCATGAAGGGAGTTGATAGAGCTGATCAATACTTGGCCTATTATTCTCTTCCTAGGAAAACAATAAAGTGGACAAAGAAAGTTGCCTTGTGGCTTATAAATTGTGCCATTTTCAATTCATTTTTGGTTTACAAAAATCTAAACCCTGATTCAAAATTGAAATACAAAGCATTTCTGATGAATGTGCCAAAGGCCTGGGCTACAGACCAGATGGTGGCGGCAGAACGAGAGTCAGACACAGACTTAGTGCGACTGGGCCCATAAACTCCCACCCCACACAGGCCTCATGTGGACCCCCTGGGCGACTCTTGGGTGATATGCAGAAACATACCCTTGTGAAAATTGTGAAGAGTGAACATGCCAAGGGGAAGCATCCTTCTAGGCAATGCCGTGTTTGCGCAGTTCACAGAAAAAGGAATATGACTGCCTACATTTGCAAGTTCTGTGTAATGCCACTTCACAAAGGGGAATGTTTCCAGAAATATCACACTCTCAAGCACTTCTAGGAGTACTGGTAAGTGTTCTCCAAAAATTTTAGTTCATAAAATTAATTAGGAGATTTTATATTAATTTTTAAAGTGAACAGTGCACAAGTTAGGGTAGTAGGTATAAAAATGCCGGTCCCCAGTGTGATTTAAATATTTAAATCGCCGGTCCGCAAAGTGTTAACACCCTTACATGTTTCGGTCCCTATAGACCATCATCAGAGGGACATCGATACTCTTTGGAAACCACTATTACAGTGGGTGTTCTGAATGTTAAAATATATACACATACAATGTTTGTAATGCACAATATATACAAAATCCAAAGTTTTCACAACTACAGCGGTTGCTTTGTTCTATTAAAGTTCTTTAAAACTTTTGTTATTTAAGTTAAAATTTATAAACCAAATGGTTCGTGTCCTTTCTCTTATCGCCTTTCTTGATGGGGGCCGAACTTGTGCCGCCTGTCTTTCTTGAAAAAGAGGTTCTGCAAATATACACGTATTATGGGTATTGTTGTGGGTTCTTGTGGACATGATAATGAACCTTCAGGCTGCATATAAGGCAGGGTATTTCTGGGGTCTCTAAATGACTATTATAATAGATTCGTAAGAAAGACCAGCTAATGAACTTACTTCATGGACCTCAGCCCATCTTGAGAAGATGCCAACTGTGCAGCTAGTGAAGAACCTCCCAGCATTTTATGGAACCTGAAAGTTCATTACTGTGTTCACAAGAGCCCTCCACTGGTCCCTATGCTAAGCCAGATCAATTCAGTCCATACCACCCCATCCTATCTCTCTTAAGATCCATATTAATATTGTCCACCCACCTATGTCTTGGTCTTCCCAGTGGTCTCATTCCTTCTGGCTTTCCTACCAATATCCTATATACATTCCTCTTCCCCATTCATGCTACATGCCCTGCCCATCTTATCCTCCTTGACTTGATCATTGTAATTACATTTAGTGAAGATAAGCTCCTCATTATGCAGTTTTCTCCAACTTACCATCATTTCAACTCTCTTTGGTCCAAATAATCTGCTCAGCACCCTGTTCTCGAACACCCTCAGTCTATGTCCCTCCCTTAATATCAGTGACCAAGTTTCACACCCATACAAAACCACAGGCTGAATTATAGTTTAGTATACTTAGTTTATATGTGATAAGTTTCAATGAACACATTAATAGTAATTAGGAGAAATAAAACCTAGAGCATGGAATCTCAGCAATCTGTAGAATATGTAAGGAATTCTCATCATCATCTCGTACTCCATCCCATATGGAATGCAAAGAATGCTTTGAGAATATGAAATAATTCTGTATGTTTTACAACTCACTCCAGTAGCCACAACCAAATTCCTGCGCCCCTTTGGGCATGGCACCAGGTACCATAATTCTGATAGATCCTCTGGTACATGCACCAACCATTCAGATAACATCAGTCGATCTTTATACAGCCTGCACTGCCTTGGCTTAGCCTGAAGATAAAAAGAATATCAGGAAATGTATCACATACAGTGAATTTAGTCAAGGGTGAAGTTCTGAACATTACAGCTGTTATCCATTTTTGTATAACATAAACATTACTTTATATTCATATAGGATTTGAGGTTCTCATAGTGGTGGCTATGACGTGTACTGTCTTCTGGAATATAACATCGTTTGGTCCAGCTACCTGCTTTCATGCTCGTATCTTGCTTGGCTTATTCTTGAACCATAAAGATGGAGGTGACATGCTCCTACAAAATGTTGGTTGACTATATGATGTTATATCCCAGAAAATAGTATTCTTCAGGGCTTTATTCACTTTACCAATTACGACTCTAGTTTACCTGAAGCGCTGTCCATTCCATGTCATGTTCCTCATGTAAAGCACTCAATTCCTCTATCAGTCCACGGCCTGCATTGAACAATTCACCGCGTTTCCTGTTTTTATATACAAAAAAGTAAACTTGACATTCAATTACAAATACTTTATAAAATGGCATTTCTGCCTTTAAAATATCCCATACAGTAACCGCTCGCGTTTGCTGCCACTTCTTGTAACCGCTCATGTTGGCTGCCACTTCTTGTAACCGTCCCCTTTTCTATCTTTTATTTATTTGTTTATTTGCCCGCTTCGGTAGAACACTTGACTCTTCTCAGGACCGTGTCACGGTAATAACTGAGGCAACGAGGAAACTGCACACTTAAAACTAGTCCACTGCTAGAAATCAAAGACACTATTTCTGCTTAATCACAAATTGTTTATTTCAGAAGCAAACACTATAACTTTATTAGCAAATACGGAGTAATGTGCCCTTTTTATTATTATCAAAGATTAATCAAACCAAATAAAGACTGATAAATTTAGATATACTTGGAAAGTACAGCCCAATGACGTATGCCTCTGATGAATTCAAAATGCCAAGTCCTTCTGAAAACCCTTGCCTGCGGGAGCATCGCTTCATCCCCTGTATAGGATTTGAACTGACGGCCTTTCTCCCAGACAAGAATAGTTTCCTACTGGCTGATTTTAACAGCCAATTCATCATACCATTAGCACTAGACAATCACATTACTAACTTTGAGAATAAAGAGATCCAAAGATATTGAACTCGGAACCCCACATGTGAAAGCGGTTATTTTTTAGTTTAAGGTCCAATTACACCCTTCCGAAGACACTTTTATAACAGCTACCCTATTAGCAAAACAAAATTTACATCTTCGGCAAACTACAGACATGCCTTTTCATAATGGCCGGGTCCCTTTTGCAGTCACCCAAGCTGCTGGTAACAAAAGAAGGCAGTTGTTCCTGTCCAAATGCGAAAAGCAAGTCATTACAAGCTAATGCATCAGTCTCCCCAATAAATCAGTCACTCTATTGAAATGGCTAAAGAGGAACATAGCGTCCATTAAAGAGTTTTAAAAGGTTTGGACTGTCACAGTATGGGCATGGATTGAACTACCAGTCCGATTTATCTTACTCTAGTTTAATTGCAGTGGCAGAAGTGCAGCAACTGTCAAAACTAAAATTACCTTATGCTTTAAACTGAAAACTTCTAATCCAATACACAAAATATTAAGCAATCCATGAGGATGCATGGACCACCTTTAATAAAATTCCAAAAAGAATGACACATATGGAGTTATACACTCAACAGTGTGTCTGATTCTTCAAATGGTCTTTGTCATAAATTCTTATACTCAACTCCATCTGTAATTATATAGTCCCACAGAGGAAGGTCTAGGAGAGTAAGGTCCAGAGATTGGGATGGGCCCCAGTATGAGAACTCCTTGACCAGTCTATTGCCATAGGGAAATGTTATTCACAAACAATCACAATTTTTTGATAACATGTTCAGAGATTGTTTGGCAGAGTCCAAATGAGCTTTCAACAGAATGGCAGGTTGGAAGAACTTGGAGACAGAATAAAAACAAAATACTGTGGGCAAGAAACTTTCTCATTTTTATTAATTAAAAGACAACTGAAATATCTATACATATTAGCCAGCTCCTTTCACACTTGGACAAGGGGGCCAATGTGCCATTTCAAGTTATCCCAGGGTTTCATTAGTTAAGCTTCATACCATGAGGGCTGCAACCAGTTGAGGGTAAGTGGTCAACTTCATGCCCCTGCTCCTTTACCACTGCAGAAACAGCCCTGGTACCCATTATATAGGCAGCTGAGTGGGCCTCAGAGCCAGTCTGAATGTCATAGAGAAGGGAAAAATGTCTTGCCCCTGACAGGAATCAAACCCCTAATCCTGAGCTACCCTTTCTCTTGCTGTGAGGATATGCAGAAAATATAAACCATCTTCTGTCACAGCTTGGACATGGAAAGGGAATGATGTTGGGATGTACAAATAAGAGAGATTGGAAATAAATATGTCAGAAATGCACAAAGGAGATAACGGTATAAAAGGGATAAAGGAACAGATGAATGGGGATGGTGGGAATGTTTTAACATGAAGGAGATGCAGAAAGGAATGGGGCAAGGAATGACCATAGAATGAACAAATAAAGGAGGGGATTCAGAAAGACAAACGTGATAAGAGGAAAAAGAGAAACGATTTTCCCCATTGTCTTTAGTATGTATGTACTAGTAGTAATAAAACTGAAAATTCTAGTTGTCATGGCCATGTGGGCACCTGCTCATCATAACTTTATACAAAACCTATTCCACAATATTAGGAACTCTTTCCATTTGGAATATTGAGTAAATTACTGTCGTCTCGAGAAACTCACTGCTTCTGTTCTTCAAGGAACCGTCTTCTCCTTTCTTGCTGATCTGGAACACATGGGCGAGTTTTATACTGTGTAAGCCTTGAATTCGGACAGTTCACTTCCTTCGGAGCTAGTGACACGGCGATCAAACCTGTCGATGATTCTGTCTGCTGTTCCATATTTTCCACTTATCTGCTACACAAACGCTTACAAAAATAAATGCATTTGACAATTAATAACCATTGAAATGTACAGTATTGTAAAAAATTCAGTCTATCAGTATATGACAGAACGCGAGAAATGTGTCTTAATAAAACACATAATACTAATATATCGAATTATGCACTGATATGTACCTATTGTAATCACAGGTTGAAAATACCAACAGCTGTTGGCAAGGCTTGCCAACATAAAGTTCCACTTTTGGGTATTAAGCTAATGGTGGCTACGAAGAGTTTGCTACGTTTCGTAATTTTTTTTTAATTCGCTTAGTGGTGGGGGGGGGTGGAGTCCGACTGGGCAACTGGGTTCACTCGGCATGGTGGCCACTGATTGGCCTATTGTGCATGCCCCGGGTGATTATGATGATGGAGAATTTGGTGGAATGTAGATTAGCAGGGGAAAACGAAGTACTCGGGGAAAACCCGCCCCAGCGCCACTTTGTCTACCACAAATCCCACTTGACCAGACCCGGGATTGAACACACGGGCCGCCGCGGTGGGAAGTCAGCGACTAACCGCTTGAGCTATGGTGCGGCCCTGGAGTTCGCTACTACTTGACGCTAGTTTCTTGCTTGCCTTATTCATCAACCCTGAAGACAGGGGTGACATATTCCTTCGAAATGTCGGTTAACTTTCGAAGGACCTCATGGTGATATCGTCAAAGAGATAAACGATCTGTCGCCTTCACTGAAAATTTACGCCAGTGGTTGCGATCGAAACGCTGGTAGAAATTGTATAGGAGGTCAATTCCACAGATTGATTCTTCGCTGTGCCTCTGCTGACCAGAGGATACAAAAAATGATTTTGAGTCGAATAAGTATTCACCCCCCCATTCTGCGGTTTCAAAATACGGAGCACATAGTACAGAAGCGATTTTTATTTCCATGCAACTGACATAACTTGTGCGACTTTTGCATGTTCTAGGACTTCTAGGAAGCTTGGACTTCTCTCATATCTGGACCATCTGGACGATCTGGACCCGATTATACCAACACCAGCCGGTTCAGCGACCAATCTGTGGACCGCTGCGGAGTACATCGGGCGACGAGACAACGAGTATGATTGTGTATGACCACTATCGACCAGAAACTTTAGCAGCGTCATTATGGTCATTATCGTAATCATCGGGTAGTACGAGGCGTACGAGGTAAGCAAATTACAGCCGTTCTCGTCCATAACATATAACAATCCCCAATCCGAGAGAAACCGATTCGGGGCGGATTTAGGAGAGCTGATGGTTTGGGCGACCTGTGGTGAACTGTTTTTTTTTTCCAAAATACTAGAAAGAATAATGTATAATAGGTTAATACATTTTTAAGTGGAAAATAACGAAATAACAGAAGCCCAGAATGGCTTTAGGAAAAATAAATCAACAGGCACAGCAAGTCAGACTTTTATTGAAAGTATACAGAGGGCATTAGATAAATGAATTCATGCCATAGGATTATTCTTTGATTTAACAAAAGCATATGATTTGATAAATCATAATATATTATTATATAAATTATATTCATATGGAATAAGAGGTGAGTCAAACCTGTGGTTCAAGTGGAGAATGGCGTGCTGCATGGATCACTGTTGGGGCCGCTATAATTTTTGCTATATATAAATGATCTCACTGAAAATGTTCAAGGGGCAAAGGTGATCTTATTTGCAGATGATACTAATTTACTAATTACTGGATCAGATGAAGTTGACCAACGTAAAATAAAAAACGTTGTGAGAGAGTTAGAAATATGATTTGAGAAAAATAATCTTATAATAAATTTTGAGAAAAACATTTGCTATGTCATTTCATCCAAAACAAATGACAGTTTTAAAACTAGAAATTACCTATAAATCAGAACTAAGATTTTTAGGTATTCACATCACAGAAAACCTAAAATGGAGTTCCCATGCACGATTTTTAAGAGCTAAGCTATGCAAAGTAGTTTATATAATAACATTAAAAGAAACTATGAGCCTATGTATGATAAGAAATATCTGCTTTTCAAATTTTGAGTCTTGACTGCGGTATGGTATTATGGGGAGGGGATAACGAATGTGACAAACTCCTTAAACTGTCAGAACTGGTTCTTCAAATTATCAGTGTGGTTAATAATCAAACATGCTGACAAATTTGTAAAGATCGCAGTAATTTAACATTGGCTGCACTATACATTTTTGAAGTGATGTGTTTTTTAGAAAATAGACTTTATGGCAAAAAAATGTTGACATCCATCATTACAACATGCAAAGAAAACTAAATTTACATGTAAATCATTGCAATATAGTTCTTTTTTTAAAAAAAAAGGCTTAATAAATGTGGATATCACCTTGTATAATAAGGTCCCTGAGAAGATAAAATTAAAAAAAATAACTCTTTTAAGAGGGACTTGAATGAATGAATGAATGAATGTATGTATAAGGGGTGGGCCTTCTTGGCCCTTGGACCACGACCTACGGTGGTCTGTTGTGCTTTAAGAGGGACTTAAAATCCTTTCTGTTGAAACATTCCATTTATTCCATTGATGAATTTATGTCCCTTTAATTCTGAAATGAGTGTGTTACGGTTTTATGTTATGACAAATATGATTGATTGATTGATTGATTGATTTAGTTTGTCACTGTAGATCATTGTACATGATATATGACAAGTCAAGTTAATTCTGAATATTAACAATTTGATATATAAGTAGATTAAAATTACAATAGTTACAATTTTTTACTGCTGATTACAATTTAGAATTAGTTAGATATTCTTATTTGTGGAGAATTTGATGGAATGAACATTGGCAGGGGAAACCGAAGTACTCGGAGGAAACCTGCCCCAGCGCCATTTTGTCCATCACAAATCCCACTTGCTCAGATCACAGTGGTGGGAAGCCAGCGACTAATCGCTTAAGCTATGGCGTGGCCTTAGAATAATGATATTGATAGCTAATGTAATGTTCTCAGCAGATTGGTGCCCTTCTTGATGGCCTGGTATTCTCGATCTCTCTCTAAGCTGCCTACGTAGACGTCCCTCCATCTCATGATGTCCCTTTCTATCACATCCAACATGGTGTCTTGATTCCTTTAAGCAGAAGAGAACTGCGCAGTATACATTCATAGCATGCTGGTATAAGCTCAACAAGTCACTTATTCTTGAATTATCTGGCAATATTGATGTTAACTAGGATTTATCCCCAAACAAGAAGAATTCATCTATACTATAAAAACAATGTTCAAGTAGAAATGTTTTGAAAGTCTTTTTAAATTTGTATAGTGCTGGTATGTCCTTTATATATGTTGTCATCACTTAATCTGTAAAGAAAAGTATTGGATGTTGGGTTTCTTTTGGTACTGAATTGTTGCAAGTGGGATGGTGTATTGTATGAATGATGTATATGAAATATGTAGGTAATTAAGTTTTATTGTATTTGTTGACTCATGTACAATATGTATGTTATATTAATATGTAGTTATTGACTTGTTCTGTGTCTGGAGGTTGTATCTCCAAATATGGATTCTTGGAAGAAATAAATTGATTGATTGATAAGAAAGTTCCAAGTTTATGTAAGATTCTGCATTCTCTTGCAACAGGAATGCGAAGAATTCTGCTACAGAGACCTGAAGAGATATTTCCTGGTGTGAGAGAAAGCATGGTGAGTGTTTTGTGCTTGTGTTCACAGACAAATTTTATTGTCATCTGTCAGTTCTTATAGCATAAGAAACTAAAACATATTTTATGCCAAGCTTGTGTTAATTTTCATAATCCATGTGGGGAGTTTACATGGTTTTTCATATGATAACAGCTTGGTTAGTTATGTAGGAGAGGAATTAATTCAAGGAATGTGATTGGGTAGATAATATAATTCATGTGAGAATGAGAACTGTGTACAAAGGTTTGGACAGAAAAAGTGAAAGAATTAGTACACTTGGGAGATATTTGTGCAGATCGTTTTTAAAGATATTATTTTGGGAGGTTTGGACTGGGTTTGTTTGTGTCAGGATACAGAATTATGATGGGCATGTCTGTACACAGTAATGAGCCCTAAGGGCTCTGTACTTCCACAGGGACCATTAGTTTCTCAGCAAGATCCCTGTGCTATAAACTTAAAACTTAGCAAGGTTTTGAAATCTGTAGGGAAGAAATCTGTACAGAGCAGCTGTTACAGGTTAGGTGTAATGAAAAACAGTTGTTGCAACGAAAGCATACCATGTTTCATGTGGTGTTGTAAAGCCATGACTGATAACAGATATGATTTTACAGAACTACACAAATTCAGAGACTGTTTTAGCGGGTCCATATGGAGAGACGTACCCAGCAAGTCATGATTCAAACCAGGCCATGCATATGAAAGCTGAGGAAGTGTCAGATGCACAAGAGGAAGTAGATTCTCTGCGAATAACCGCTCAAGAAATAAAGGCTGAACCTGAGGTGAGCTGAATGTTTCTGTGTGTCCACTGTTAGGCAGATATAACAAATATGAAGAAATGCCAATTGTCTTTCTCATCTCCATTTGTCTGTCTGTGCTCATGAAAAGAATTCTGCTGTGCTGCTGGCTGGACATTGAAGACCTGAGATGTCTCTAAAAGAGTTATAGATTCTAGAATGTTGCTTGTGACAAACCACTTCTAATTCCTGTTATGCAGTTCTAATGTAGATGAAATTAAATTTTTGTGTAAAATGAAGAGTGTTTCAAGAAATTCTATAGCAGCAATAATCCATGTGGAACTTTTCATAGGTAGTTACTGGTACACCTATTATAACCAAGAAATTATATTTCTAGGACCCTTATAAGTGAATTCAAATGAACACCACAAAAGTCATGTAATAAACAAATTTCAAAGTTACAGAAGATTCTGCATTCACTTGTAACAAAGTGCCAAGAATTGTATTGCAGAGATTTGAAGAAAAGTTTCTTGCTGTGAGTGTTTCGTGCTTGTGTGCACAGACAAGAATTTTATTGTCATATGTTAGTTCTCCTGGCCAAAGAAACTAAATATTTTGTGACACACTTTTGTGTGTTTGCATAATCCATTTGGGGAGCTTATACTTGAGAGTAGACATTATAGTGGGTTGGTATATTATGTAGGAGAGTGATGTGGGTAAGTCATGTAGCACACATGTGAGAATGAGAAATGTGTACAAAGTTTTGGATGGAAAACCTGAGAAGCAGACCACTACGGAGACCTAAGTGTGGATGGAGAGATGCTATTAAGATAGATTTTAAAGACATAATTTGGAAGGGTCCCCACCAATGGTGTCTCCACCTTATCGTCGTGGTGGGGTTAGAGCGCTCCTGAGACCCTGAGATCTATGCTGGTGGTAGTGTAGCTACTGGTAGGGTCAACCATGCCCTGTAATTGGATCTGCTTGAATATAGGAATAAATTACAAATTACAGGTCAAGGGGTTGGAGCCAGATGAAGAGGGATATCCTGGTCCTCCAGGTTGGAGATTGAGCGTGAGGCTAACAACCTCATACCATAAAAACTAAAGTGTTCAGAAAAACCAGATAATTAGCTTCATGTGGATGGATTGAATGGAAATCAACATCAGCGAAGGAGCAGGAATAAGATTATAATGGCAACGTGGAATGTGAGATCAATGTTACAAGCTGGGAAGATGCAAGAGATAGCAAACGAGATACAAGTATTCCAAATAGACATAGTCACATTATAAGAAATTCATTGGCCCGGACAAGGAAGGATTGATAAACGTGATTATACTCTTATTTACAGTGGATCAGAAAAAAAGTACAGGACAGTTGGGTATGGGATTTATGATAGCTAAGTCCAAGAAAAACTAGCAAACATACAGAAAATGACAAAAATAACAAGTAAGAAATGGGATACAGATGAATTAATCAAACAGCCTGAAGTCAGGGAAGAGTATGAAAGTAAATTACAAATGAGACTGCAGAATTGTGATGCAGAAGGATCAGAAGATACAGAGAGAAAATGGTATGAAATGGAAAGTATCATAAAAGGAGTAGCAAATAGAAGTTATTGGAGAGAAGAAAAGTTAAAGAGAAATGAATAATTCGATGGAGAATGTGTTAAATATATAGCAGAGGAAAACAAAGCAAGAGAAAGAATTATTCAAAGAAAAACTAGAATGAACTATGAGAATTATCAGGAAAACAGAAGGCAAGCAAACAGGATTTGTAGGAGGAAGAAGGAAGTGATTCAGAAACAACTAGAGGAAAATTTAACAAACAAAATGAAAGAAGGAAATTCTACAAAGAAGTAGATCAGCAAAAAAAAGGATTTCAACCAAGAGTGACTGGATGTAAAAGCAAGGGTGGATGAATATTAGGAGGAGAAAAGGAAGTTTTAGATCAATGAACAGAACATTTTGAAGACCTACTGAATACAGGAAAAGGAAATAAGGATCCTGAAATAGCAAGAACTAGTAGTTGGACTAGTAGTGGATGATGGCCATTGTGATCTACCCACACACAGAAATAGAGAGTAATATATAAAACTTAAAAAACAATAAAGTACTGGGAGAAGATAATATAACTGCAGAACTAATTAAATATGGAGGGAAAACAGTTACAGAAGTGGTACATAAATTAATTACATGAATTTGGAAAACAGAACAGATTCCAGATAACTAGGTAATCGATGTCATATGCTCTGTATTTAAAGAAGGAGATAAAGTAGACTGTAACAACTATAGAGGTATTACTTATTAAAAGTATTATATAAAGTACCATCTAGTTTAAGAAGTGAAAAATTGAAAATTACAACAGAAAGGATAATCGGAGAAAACCAGTATGGATTTCCCCCTAATAGAAGCTCTTTATTATTGGACAAACGATGGAGAAATATTATGCACTTGGACTAAATTTGCATATATTGTTTATTGACTTACACAAGCCTTTGATGGTGTGAACAGAGAAAAACTTTTTGAGATAATGTATGAATATAGACTTTCTAAGAAATTAATCCATCTGGTACAGATGTCTATGAATACCACTAAAGCCATAGTTAAGGTAGGCAAATAACTTTGGTAAGGAGTCTGAATTTAACAAAGGAGCTAAACAAGGAGACAGGTTGTCCACAACCTGATTTATATTAGATTTCTAACTGGAAAGGTGTCCCTCTGAAGATGGTCTCTGAAGACCGAAACATGTAACGCCATGAATAATTGAAATAAGAAAATCTTAACTAGTCACACTGAACGGAACTATTTAGCTTTTTCATAATATTAGTGTGACGGACCACAATGAAACAAATCAAATTATATATATTAGCATTACATGAAGCTGCTATGAAGATTGATCAGTGGGGCACAATTTGCAATAAGTCTAGTCAGATCTGTACTTATGCAGATGATATAGCTATAATAGCAAGAACAAAAAGGAAATTAATAGAAGTACGAGGGTCATATTGAAAGTCATGAGCAACAATTTTTTGTAAAGTAACTTGCTTTATTATTGACAAACCAAATACACCACCTCTATCTATAGACCTTTCTTTATTTTTCCACATAATCGCCACTTCTTTTTACACATTTCTCCCAGCGTTCTGGGAGTTTGAAAATTCCCCTTTTGGAAATTTATGTTCCAGCCATCCGAAGACACTGACGCACTGCTTTCTGGATTGCCTCCCTTGTCTCAAAACGTTTTCCAAGCAGCTGGTAGTCAGAGGGTGCCACATCAGGGCTATAGGAGGGGTGTGTAAGAACTTCCCACCCCATCTTTGCAATTGCTTCCAATGTGAGGCGAGTGTTGTCATGCAGGATGATGATGTTTCATCCCGGACGTTTATCGCGCAGTGCACGATGGAGCTTGCGCAGTGTCTGGACGTAATGAGCAGCATTGATGGTTTGCCCAGGTTCCAGGAATTCAGCCAGAATAAACCCCTCTGCATCCCAGAAGACTGTGCCCATCACCTTCGCAGCTGATGGCACAGTCTTTGCCTTCTTTTTTGATGGAGAATGCAAATGGTGCCATTCCATACTCTGCCATTTCGTTTCAGGCTCAAAATGGTGAAACCAGCTTTCGTCACCAGTCACAATATAGAGCAAAAATTAATCATCACTTTCGTGTCGATGTCTCTGCAGCAGTTCTGAGGTGATGGCTTTTTGCTGACCTTTGTGGTCTTCGGTCAATAACCGTGGGACCCAAGGAGCACAAACTTTCCTCTAGTCCAAGCTTTCAATCATCTCCTGTACTGCACTGTGCCCTATTCCAAGTTTTCGGGCTATTGTGTCCACAGTCACACGCCTGTCATCTTGAATTATCTCATCCACTCTTTCCTTGTTGCGTTCAATTGAGGCTGTTCGAGGATGACTGCTCCGAGGCTCATCTTCAGTGCTGGTGTTCCCATCTTTAAAATGTTTCACCCATATTCAAACACTGCTCGCACCCATACACATACACTTCCATGTACATACCTTTTTTGTTGTTATCTGCTTGATGTGTGTGTGTGTATGTGTATATATATAAGCTGAAATGAAACTACAGTATTTGATTTCACTATGAACGCACAGAAAACAGATCGAAAATCTGAAGAGTGTGAGCAGTGCTAGCAGAAGACCAAATGATTTTATTGCTTCCATCTGTTTTATGACACCAGGGACTGCTAAAATTTGTCAAATTTCTTTTTGTGTTACAAACAGAAATGAATTTATAATGCAGAACAACTCTGTGAAGAACTGGGAAACCATTTTTGCAGTACACATCAAAATTGAAATAAAAAAATTGAAAATAGTTTATAACACTTTGTATAAAAATTTTCAGATCTTCTGTTATAATATGCGACACTATGTTCTTCGCTGACACAAACAAAGTTAATTCCATCCATTTATCATAAAAACTGAGTCAGATACAGCATTTTTAAACATAATGCTTAAAATTATTTAAGTGCCCTAACAGGAATGGACATTTAAATGCAGAGTAGCAACGGGCATTTAAATGCGCACCAGCAGCAGGCATTTAAATAAACTCAGGCCAGCTCAAGCTTACCACCATTTCAGAAGTCTGGTGTTTAAAGGTTAAGAAAGATATGTGGACCAGTTTTAGAAAATGGGGAGTTTAGAATCCGCTATGATGAAGAATTAAATTAACTTATAAAAGGAGAAGATATAGTTACATTCATTAAAGCCCAGTGACTGCAGTGGTTAGGGCATTTTCAAAGGATGAATGAAATGACTACGCTAAAAAGGATGATACAAGGTAAAATATCTATGACAAGGAAGATAGGAAGACCCAGGTTTAGATGGTTGGATGATGTACATAATGAGCTCTGTAAAATGAAAGTGAAAGGATGGAGAGGAAAGATGACGAATAGAGAAGAATGGAGGCAGATTGTTGAAGAGGCCAAAGCTCACCCTGAACTGTAGCGCAAAGGGAAGGTAGGAATTTGGAAGGGTTTGTACTAGGTCTGTTTGCCTTAGGATTCAGAATCATGACGAGTGTGTGTGATCATGGTAATGAGCCCTTAGGTACCCTAACTTATTAACTTCATGGATCTGAGTCCTTGAGAAGCCACCAGTCGACACAACATTGTATTCAACCTGATAGTTCATTACCATGTTCACAAGAACCCATCACAGGTCCCTATCCTGAGCCATATCAATCCAGTCTACATCACCCCATTCTGTGTCTCGTTAAGATCCAGTTTAATATTATCCTCCCACCTATGTCTAGGTCTTCCTAGTGGTCTGTCTTTCTGGCTTTCTTACCAAAATCCTGTATGCATTCCACTTTACCCCCATGCCTGCTATATGAGCTGCCAAGCTCATCCTTGTTGACTTTTTCGCTTGCTTAGTGAGGGGTGGAGTCCAGCTGGGTCCACTTGGCATGGCAGCCACTAATTGGTCTATTGTACCTGTCCCGGTTGATTATGATGATGGAGAATTTGGTGGAATGAGGATTGGCATGCGAAACTGAAGTACTCGGAGAAAGCCCACCCCAGCCCCAGTTTGTCCACACAAATCCCACTTGACCAGACCTGGGATCGAACCCGGGCCACTGTGATGGGAAGCCAGCAACTAACCACTTATCCTCATTGACTTACTTGATCAATTTAATTATGCTTGACGAAGGTTAGAAGTTATGAAGTGCCTCATTATGCAGTTTTTGTCTACCATAAAAAGCAGATATTTTCTCTACTGCTACAGTGACTGTTAGTTTTTCATGAAGGTCATTGAGCTGTGAACTGAACACTTTCTAATGATCTTGTTAGACGTTTAGAAGAAAATCTGTACAGAGCAGCTGTTATGAGTTAGATGTAATGAGGAACAGCTGTAGCAAGGAGAGCATATGGTGTTTGATGTACAAGGTTGTACATCCATTTCTGAGAAAGATGTAATGGTTTTACAGATCTGTGCAAATTCAGAGAACATTTTAGTGGGTCTGCATGGAGAGACGTACCCAGCAAGTCATGATGCAAACCAGGCCATGAATATAAAAGCTGAGGAAGTCTCAGATGCACAAGAGGAAGTAGATCCTCTGCGAATAACAATTCAGGAGATAAAGGCTGAAACTGAGGTGAGCTGTATGTTGCTGTATGTCCACTCTTATGCAGATATCACAGATATGCAGAAATGCCAATTGTTTTTCTCATCTCCATCTCCCGAGCTGTCTGCCTCTAGATGAAACAACTTCACTGTGCTGCTGGCTGGACTTTGAAGATATCTTTCAGAAATGTTCCAAGACAGTTATATTCTGTTAAATGTTGCATATGATATACCATTTCCATTTCTTGTTCAGCAGTTATAATGTAGGTGAAATTAAATTTTGTGTAAATTGAATAGTGTTTCAGAGAAATTCTGTAGCAGCAAAAATCGTGAACGAGTTATGGAAGGTTTCACTGGTAGTTAACTGGTACACTTACTAGAATGAAGCTGTTATATTACTAGGACTCTTGTAAAGCAAATTCTAGTGAACCTGACAAAAATCATAGGATAAACAAATTTCAGAGTTACTAACGATTTCTGCATTCTCTCGCAACAAGAATGCTAAGAATTGTACTGCAGAGATCTGAAGAAAAGTTTCCTGCTGTGTGTGTTTCATGGTTATGTGCGCAGACAAGAATATTATTGTTGTATGTCGGTTCTCCTGGCCAAAGAAACTAAATATTTTGTGACATGCTTCTGTTTGTTTTCATAATCCATCTGGGGAATTTCTTACACTTGGGTGTAGACATTATGAATTTGATATATTATGTAGGAAATTGATGTTGGTAAGTCATGTAGCACACATGAGAGAGTGAGAAATGAATACAAAGTTTTGGATGGAAAACCTGAGAGAAGCAGACCACTAGGGAAACCCAAGTGTGGATGGAGAGATGCTGTTAAAATAGATTTTAAAGAAATGATTTGAAAGGGTTTGTACCGGGTCTCCCTGAGGATTCAGAACCATGACGAGCATGTGTGATCACATTAATGAGCCCTCAGGTATCCCAACTTATTAACTCCATGGGTCTGAGTCCTTGAGAAGCCACCACTTGCATGCCCACTGAAGAATTTCCCAGCATTGTATTCAGCCTGAAAGTTCATTACCATGTCCACAAGAACCATCACAGGTCCCTATTCTGAGCTATATCTATCTAGCCTACACCACCCCATCCTGCATCTTGTAAGATCCATTTTTATATTATCCTACAACCTATGCTAGGTCTTCCTGGTGGTCACTGTCTTTCTGACTTTCTCACCAAAATCCCATATGCATTTCTCCTCTTCCTCATGCCTGATATATGAGCTGCCAGTCTCATCCTCCTTGACTGACTTGATCATTTTAATTATACTTGGTGAAGGTTAACAAGTTATGAAGCGCCTCATTGTGCAATTTTTGGGTACTATAAACTGATATTTTCTTATTGCCGCATTGGCTGTTAGTTTCACAGGAAGGTCACTGAGCTGTGAACTGAATACTTTCTAATAATCTTGATAGCTGTAGAGAATAAAATCTGTACAGAACAGCTGTTATGAATTAGATCTAATGAGAAACAGCCATAGCAAGGTGAGCGTATGCTGTTTGATGTACTGGGTTGTACGTCAATTTCACAGGAAGATGCGATGGTTTTTACAGAACTGTACAAATTCAGAGAACGTTTTAATGGATCCATATGGTGAGAGATATCCAACATCTCATGATGCAAATCAGGCCATGAATGTAAAAGCTAAGGCAGTCTCAGATGCAGAAGAGGAAGAAGATCCTGTCCCAATAACATTTCCAGAAATAAAGGCTGAACCTGAGGTGAGCTGTATGTGCACTCTTAGGCAGATATCACAAATCTGCAGAAATGCCAATTGTTGTTTTGACCTCAGTCTCCGTCTTTGGATGTGAAACAACTCCACTACACCGTTGGTTAGATGTTGAAGGTTTTTTTTCTTCGGAAATGTCTAGGCAGCTGAAGTATGTTGAATGTTGCTTGTGATGTACCACTCCCATTTTCTTTGAAATAAATCTGATATAGATGAAATTAAATACTGTGTAAACTGAAGAATGTTTGAGATAAATTCCATATAGCAAAAATCTTGCACATTTTCCTTGTCTATCCAATCCACAAAGCAGTGCATTGATACTACATAGGGTTCCCAGGATCTGTAATTGCTAAAATTTATCATTTGTTTTCTGTCTTCAGTGCAGCCTGTATCCATGCAATAATGTATAGTGATCATTTTGAGGATTTGTAACAGGATAATTAAAGATTCTCTAAAGGTTTGTGACAATCTTTGTCAGATTATAGACCTGTGTTGTTTGTTGCCCTTTGTTTGAAGTAAATTTAATATACCTGACACTGTTGGAGTCACCTCTGTACCTGCCTTCATATTACTGGTTCTTATGACAGTTTTTTTTTTTTGTGTTAGAAAGGACAGTGACTAAAGATAGGTACAGAGAACATGTACAGAGGTATAAAAATCAGTAGTGAAAAATTGGCATTGGCAACACATCCGAAACATAGGTACCATTATGGTCAAATGGAATAAGAATGGATTTAAGTAAACACAGAAGAAAAAAAGGCTATTAATGAACAGTGTTAGGTGAGTCCCTTGTCACCACAGCATGGCGTGTCCTCCATAGTGACATTCATTCCGAAGTTCGGGAAACTTGATTATACCGAGGCTAAGGCATGTTGTCCTATCATCCTTTTGAAAATGATGGAGAAAGTAGTAGATAGACACATTAGGGATAGTGCATTGAAAGTTTATTCTCTGCACCGAAACTAACGTGCTTACCAAATAGGTAAATCTACTGAAACCGCACTGCATAATGTGGTAACATGCATAGAAAATGCTTTCGAACACAAGGATATTGCCCTTGGAGCATTCCTTGACGTACAGGGAGCCTTTGACAGAAACTCTTTGGACACAATAAAATATGCTGCTGAAAGGCATGGCATTGAGCCTGCAATATGCAGATGGATCTGTGCAATGCTGGAATGCAGGAATATAATTGCTACATTGTCTGGAGAGACCCTGAGGGCGTCTGCAGCGAGAGGGTGTCCGCAGGGAGGTGTTCTTTCCCCTCTGATGTGGAGACTGTGATGTGGATGATGATCTTTGGGAGCTCAGCAGTAAAGGTCATTTCACAGTAGGATATGCTGATGAAATAGCAATCCTAATCAATGGGAAATTCCCTCACACTGTGTCACAGGTCTTACAAACAGCCCTGTACACAGTTTAACAGTGGTGCAAAAGAATAATCTTGTCTGTCAATCCAACAAGTCCATAATTATACCCTGTACTAGGAAGAGGGATAGAAAGGGGCCTAAGGAACCAATACTCTTCAGTAAACTGATCCGGGTATCCAGTGAAGTCAAGTACCTTGGAATAACATTAGACAAGGGACTGACATGGAAAAATCAGCTGAACAAGGCTATTAACAAGGACTATAAGGTCTTCTGGACATGTAGAGGCACATTTGAAAAGATCTGGGGACTAAAACCAAAGGTGGTATATTGGATATACACTGCGGTAGTAAGACCCATGATTACCTGTGCTGCCACTATATGGTGGCCTATAGTTAAACTCAAAACAAGTCAGGTAGAACTAAGCAAATTGGAAAGGATGGCCTGCTTGGGAATTACGAGAGCAATGAGAACAGCTTCAACAGCTGCAATGGAAATCCTACTAGAACTCCCCCCACTGCATCTGCATATGGAAGCAGATGCCAAATTAGGAAATTACCGATTAAGTTGCAGTTATCAATGGAGACCTAAATGTGAAGGTTTTGGACATGCATACATGATTCAGGCCATGAAAAAAGAACCCATCCTACAGATTGGGTCTGATAAAATGATACTGAAACATGTCTGTGATAAACCCTTCACAATCAGATTTCCTGATAGAAGTGAATGGAAAGAGGGGTTTCAACCCGGTAGAAAGTGGGGGACAGATCTGGTATACAATGGTTTGAAGACAAATAAAGGCACTGGAGCTGGGGTATATTGTGATGGAACAGGGCGGAAACATAGTTTTGGCCTTTGTCAGGACACAACAGTATTCCAGGCAGAAGTGTATGCCATTAAGGCATGCACAGTTGAGAATTTAGGTAGAAACTATACAAATGGGAACATCTGTATTCCATCTGATAGTCAAGCTGCAATTAAAGCACTTGGTACACACCAAATCACTTCAGAATTGGTCTGGGACTGCCATCAATCCATCATAGAACTGGCCAAACATAACAGATTTCAATTGATGTGTGTGGCAGGTCATGAGGGTATTGCTGGGAATGATACCGCAGATCAGCTGGCAAGAACAGGATCTGAGCAGCCATTCATAGGACCTGAACCAGCTTGCGGCATCTGAGTAGGAGAGTATTGCTGGGAATGAAACCACAGATCAACTGAGAGTGAGAGAGAGAGAGAGAGTGAGAGGGTGTGTGCATGTGTGTGTGAGTGAGTGAGTGAGAGTGTGTGTGTTTTTGAAGTGACCATTATCAGCAGCTAAACAGCGTCGATGCCGCCGAACTGCTGAGAAAAGTACAGCTGTAAGTGTGCCTAGTGTGATGGCTGCACACGACGCTTCGATGGTTTCTCGTCGCGTTTTCAGTGTAGCTGGCATTTGTCGATAAACTTCATCCTTCCAGGTTCCCCTTAGGTAGATGTCGAGAGGTGTTAGGTCTGGAGACTGTGGTGGGTACTCAATAGCACCTCTTCAACCTATTCATTGTCCCGGTAGAGTGTCATCCAAGTACGCCCTGACATCTCGATGGTAGAGAGGTGGAGCACCATCTTGTTGTAGGTAAATTCTCTCATCTTCAAACAGCTCTCGAATGGCAAGGAAAATCGATGTCTGAAGCATATCGAGATACACCTGACCAGTTACGATACCTTCAAAGAAGAAAGGACCAATCAAACCGTGCAATGACAGACCACACCACACATTAACACCTGGTAGATTCACTTCCTTGCCCATGTGAGCATGTGGATTTACAGGAGCCCAGTACACACAATTGTGGTGGTTAACAGTACTGTACACAACACTACCGTGCAATAATTGTAACTACATGTCATTTTGTTCCAAAGATATTGACTATCAAAGAGTGAGTACAGTATTTGGACCCCTCTGTAACATTTGTCAGTTAAAGGTTAAATACCATACATCTTCCTACCAGTACTACCCCAGACACTGACCACATCTCTAGCACAGCACACATTGTCAAGTGATTGACAGGTATGAAAAATTTATAGAAAATTTGGTGACTTCCTCCTCCAACACAAGCTAAAGAGAAATATCTACGTAGGTCGTACCGAAAGTCATGAACAACTTTTTCTTTTGCATGCAACCTGGGAACAGCAGACGAAAGGGAGTATGGAGGTAGGTGGAACCAGCTGTTGTGTTAACCTTGAGAGTCTTGTGACGTCAATAGCTTGCATCACGTGACCAGTATCACTCCTAACAAAATGGCCGACAACTATATGTCGTTTCACCAGCGTGCTGTCATCGAATTTCTTGTGAAAGAGGAAATCCCTGCTGCAGAAATTCACCAGAGACTTCAGGCTTATGGAAGTGTGTGCATGGGTGCGAGCATTGTTCGAAGATGGGTGAAACCTTTTAAAGATGGGAACACCAGCATTGAAGATGAGCCTCGGAGTGATCATCCTCGAACAGCCTCAACTGAACACAACAAGGAAAGAGTGAATGAGATCATTCAAGATGACAGGCATGCGACTGTGGACACAATAGCCCGAAAACTTGGAATAGAGCACAGTGCAGTACAGGAGATGATTGAAAGCTTGGGCTATAGCAAAGTTTGTGCTCGTTGGGTCCCGCAGTTATTGACCGAAGACCACAAAGGTCAGCGAAAAGCCATCACCTCAGAACTGCTGCAGAGATATCGACACAAAGGCGATGATTAATTTTTGTTCTGTATTGTGACAGGTGATGAAAGCTGGTTTTACCATTTCGAGCCTGAAATGAAAAGGCAGAGTATGGAATGGCACCATTTACATTCTCCATCAAAAAAGAAGGCAAAGACAGTGCCATCAGCTGCGAAGGTGATGGGCACAGTCTTCTGGGATGCAGAGGGGTTTATTCTGGTCAAATTCCTGGAACCTGGACAAACCATAAATGCTTATGTCCAGATGCTGCACAAGCTCTGCTGTGCATTGAGCAATAAATGTCCGGGATGAAACATCATCATCCTGCATGACAACGCTCGCCCCCATGCCACTTGCCTCTCATTGGAAGCAATTGCAAAGATGGGGTGGGAAGTTCTTCCACACCCCTCCTATAGCCCTGATGTGGCACCCTCCGACTACCATCTTTTCGAATTTGTGAAGGATCAGCTGCTTGGAGAACGTTTTGAGACAAGGGAGGCAATCCAGAAAGCAGTGCGTCAGTGTCTTTGGATGGCTGGAACAGAATTTTCCAAAAGGGGAATTTTCAAGCTCCCAGAATGCTGGGAGACATGTGTACAAAGAAGTGGCGATTATGTGGAAAAATAAAGAAAGGTCTGTAGATTGAGGTGGTGTATTTGGTTTGTCAATAATAAAGCATGTCACTTTACAAAAAATCGTTGCTCATGACTTTCAGTACGACCCTTGTACTTACACCATCTTGTGTGTACAAACTGTGAGACAATAATATATCAGTTATGTTCTGCACAAAATCTGAATAGAAACAAGGAACAGTAACAAACCAGAATATCTACAGACTTGTGCCCACTCTTGGCAAGTATACATAAGCAAAGAATAACTTGCTACACTCTCAACTACGTAAGGTTTTAAATACTATTATTATTATGGAGCCATGATCCTTTCTGTGATGGTTCTGCCCAGGTTAAATGTGAACTGGGAGTTTGTTGTCATGCTATACAGAAATCTTACAGACAGACATGTGAGCTGAAACCAAATAATTTTACGAAATGCAAACCATTCAGGCAGTACCTTCCAGGTTTCAGTGCATGCACTTGCTCACACAGAGCATGTGAAGTTATTGTTCTGTATGCTTTGGCATGTAGTAACAGTTGCGAACTCAAGGTGTTGATGTATTAAATTTATGTGTGTAAAATATTGTTATTTTAATACAGTAAAATCTTTTGTTTGGAATGGGTGCAGGAGTTGTTTTTTGGTTTCTTGGATTGCAGTTCCTTTTTTAAAACATATCATGGATGGTATGCTCTTGGTCAGAATTTTTAGTTCTGAAGAACTTTAATCCCGGGTTGATCATTTTTAAGAAAGAGCAACACCACACATAC